GGGTGGGGGGATTGTCTCTGTGCTTACCTTGGTAAAGGCTGGAGGAGATCTCCATGGAGCGGAGAATTCTCTGTCGGGGCCTCCGCACCCTCCATTGTCGATGCTAGATAAAGATAATTACTGTCCTTGTTCTCTGTGGGGATTAGAGGAGGTGTCATATCTGTCCTCCCATTATGGAGGGGTTGGGGGACTGGATATCTCTACTTGTACTCCCCTTGATGAGAGCTGGAGGAGATCTCCATGGAGGGGAGAATTTTCTGTCAGGGCCTCCGCACCCTCCATTGTCAATGCTGGATAAGGATCTTTTCTGTCCTTGTTTTCTGTGGGGAATAGGGGGGGTGTCATATCTGTCCTCCTCCCCTTATGGAGGGGTCAGGGGACTGGATATCTCCACTCTTACTCCCCTTGATGACGGCTGGAGGAGATCTCCGTGGAGCGGAGAACTCTGAGTTGAGGCCTCCGCATCCACCGTTCCAACTCCTCTGTGATGGAGGGGTTGGATTGTGTCCAGCCTCATCCTCTGTGGAGATGAAGGCTCAGGTTAACTGTGCCCATTTCCCATTACTGGGGAGGGTGGGGGGATTGTGTCTGTTTGTGCTCACCTTGGTAAAGGCTGGAGGAGATCTCCATGGAGGGGAGAATTTTCTGTCGGGGCCTCTGCACCCTCCATTGTCGATGCTGGATAAGGATCTTTTCTGTCCCTGTTTTCTGTGGGGAATAGGGGGGGTGTCATATCTGTCCTCCTCCCCTTATGGAGGGGTTGGGGGGCTGGATATCTCCACTCTTACTCCCCTTGTTGAGAGCTGGAGGAGATCTCCGTGGAGGGGAGAATTTTGTGTTAGGGCCTCCGCACCCTCCATTGTCGATTCTCGGAAAGGATCATTTCTGTCCTTGTTCTCTGTGGGGATTAGAAGAGGTGTCATATCTGTCCTCCTCCCCTTATGGAGGGGTCAGGGGACTGGATATCTCCACTCTTACTCCCCTTGTTGAGAGCTGGAGGAGATCTGTG